GCCAGCCACACACCAACCACACACCCTCAGCACACATCATCCACACACCATCCACACGCCAGCCACACACCCTCAGCACACAATATCCACACACCATCCCCACACCAACCACACACCCTCAGCAGAACCTCCACATGCCATCACATACTGATCATGCGTCTTCCACATGCCATTCATGTGCCATTCGTATACCTTCTTCATGGTACTCAGGTGACATTCATATACCTTTTTCATGCCATTCATCCTCACACAAGCTGCATGCCATTTCCATGCCTCCCACCACCTGCCATGCCCACCACACCCACCCACATGCTTTTCATCTGGTGAGCTCCGCATCCTCCACCAGACGAGAACAAGGCATCAGGTTAGGACCCCAAAGCTATGTGCACAGCAGAGTCCCAGCCTGGCCCAGGCCCGGCCATCTCATTCCCCTGCTGGGCCCTCCCATCCCCCATGGCCCAGCCAGCTACTCACCTTTGCAGGTGCAGCCTTGATGTGTGATGACCTGACGGCAGATCCCACAGGGCTTCACCTTCTTGAAGGTCTTCACCTTGAAGTGGTGGGTCTTGGGGGCCTCCAGATCCTCTGGCTGTGGGAGGAGAGGCACAGTCAGCCCTGGGCAGAAGGCTGGGGTCCTGGGGAAGGAGTCTAGGGGCCTGGAGAGAGATAGACAGGGACTGGGAAAAGGATGGCAAGAGCCCTTCAGGGCCCAGAGGAGGGAGGAGGGACCAGGGACAGAGAAAGGTATGGGGGTGACAGGACGTCCATCCCAGACTCAGGTGGGGCCCGTAGCCTGAGTCCAGACAGCAGCTGGAGAGCCCAGCTCCTGGGACCTGCAGCCCCCGCATGGCCTCCCACCTTGGCTTTCTTTTGATTTATCATGAAGGCATGGCTCACACATAGCAGACTGCACCAGCTTGAAATGTACTGCTCGATACAACGTGCCACACATCCACCCCACAGAGCCACATCCCGGAAAACTCCTCATGACCCCTCCCAGTCAGTGTCTCCCCGCCCGAGGTTCATGCCACTGTGGCTTCCATCACCAAAGAGTCATGATGCCAGATTTCTGAACTTCCTCGAGGTGGAATTATGCAATGCGTAGTCTTGCATTTCGCCTCCTTCACACACACGAATCTGAGGTCCCCTCGGATGGCTGCATCCCGCACAGCTCGTCCTTCGTCCCTCCTGTGCGCCGTTTCATTGTGTGGACACAGCAGGTTTATTTGTCCGCTCTACTGCTGATGGGCCTTCGCTCCTCCAAACCATGGTCCCACAATGCCATTTCCCCTCATTCTTTCCCCATTACACCATCCCCTGGCCCAGCCAGGAAGCCTTCTTCCGTCTTTATTTTCAGTTCTCTGCATTATGAAAATACAGAGAACAAAGCATCAGGCTGGGACCCCAAGGATATGTGCACAGCAGAGTCCCAGCCTGGGACTAAAACTATCCCTTTCTAAACCACCACCTCATGCATGAGCAGCAGGCTGGCGGCCCAAGCCTCCCTCTGAGCCTGACTTACCATAAAGCCCTGGGTCAGTACCTCTTCACCACCACCACAGGCCTCAGTTGCTCTCTCTGGATGGCACCACACCCCTGGAGCTCTGGCAGTCTGTCCTTTGAAACCACATCTGGGAAGATGCTCTAAGATGCAAAGTCCTGCACAGACCCTGCCCACCTTGCGGGCCCCATCAGGGTAGTGCCCCTATTCAGAGGACTCCCCAGGACAAGCATCCCCTGCCCCAGGCATTCAACCTGGGGTCTAGCCTGATTCCCTTCCCAGCTGCAGCAGGACGGGGGCAGGACACGGACACCAGCAGCTCCCTCTCTCCCGCCTCCCAAGCGCAGACCTCTCTGACACCCCTCCACACACACACGTGCACACACACAGAGACACGATCCCAGTCCCGCGGTGTGCGTAGCCAGTGAAACAAGGTCCACTCTTTCCTGTTCCCTTCCTTACACCTGCTCCAGAGCCCCCAGAGTCTGAGATAGGGGCCGGAGAGGGGAACTGAGTTCACAGGAGGCAGAGTGGCAGTGTCCCACACACAAGCCCGAGTGTCTAGGACTCCCATCTGAAGACACTGCAGAGGCGAGTCCTGGGTGACAGAGACTAAGCCATAGAAACACAGAGAGAAAAGCAGACAAAATGAGACTGAGTCAGAGGCAGAAACCCAGAGAGGCAAAAGCATAGAGACAGAGGGGCCGAGAGAAAGAGAGAGAAAAGGACAGGGGAGAGGGAGGGGCACAGGAAGCAGACAGGACAGAGGAGCAACAGAGAGACAGAGAAGAAAGACCAAGATAAAGGCAAACAGAGAGAGTGAGAGATGAAACAGAGACACACAGAAACTAACAAGGGGGTCAGGGGATCAAAGAGAGACAGAAGGACACAGGAGCTCCCAAAGGCCAAATCCAGGAACATCGGAGCATCAGGATACATGATGATAGGAATGGCTTCAATGCATCCGCGCTGACAATCAGAAATGCAGTCATCACCACATAATGACAGTGATCCCACAAGCTTATGATACTGTAGTTTTACTGTCCCTTTTCTACATTTAGATATGCTTAGATATGCAAATATCATATGTTACGGTTCTCAGCCTACAGCATTCAGTATGGTGACATGCTGTGCAGGGTTTGAGCCCAGGAACTACAGACTATACCATCCAGTAGCATAGGTGTGCAGTAGGCTGCACCATCTGGGTATATATAAGTACTCCCTATGGTGTTTGCACAATGTCAAAATCCCCTAACAACGCATCTCACAGAATGTGTCCCCATGGTTAAGTTTAGTCAGTTACAACTCATGACTGTAACTAAATAAACTGAAAGTTTGATAAGGCACAAGATATTTACATCTCCAAGCACCCCCCCACACATCATACTTAGAAATTACATAGAGGAAGAAAGTAACTTTTCCTAGCTTCCTCCACTTTAATCAAGTGATCAAAGTTATCATCCCTCCAATGGTAATGGGGTGACGAGTCCAAGCTCCAAGCAGGGGTGCACTGAGCACGACACCGCTTCCACGGTATCCCTGCCAGAAAGCCTCAGTCCGACTCTAATCATGAGGAAACACCAGGCCAACCCAAACTAAGGGACAGCCCACAAATTAAATGCCTTGGAATCTGCAGAAGTGACAAGGTCATGAAAAATCAAGGAACGGCTGAGGAGCTTTCCAGATTGAAGACAGCAAAAAGACCTGGCAACCAAGAGTAACGGCCGTTTCAGAACCAAGTTCCATTGATGCCTATGAGGACGTCACTGGGACAACTGGCAGGACTTCCCTGGGTCTGGATTGGATGGTATTAAAGTGTCCATGTCAGTTTCCTGATTTTGATAGCTGTGCTAGTCAGGTAAGAGAGTCCTTGTAGAAAAATCAGGAAAGTATTTAAGGGTGGTGGGGCATCATGTCAGCAACTTACTCTCAGAGTTCTAGAGGGGGCAAATATTATTTGCACTGTATTTTCAACCTTTCTGAAGTTGGTTGGAAATGCAGAGACAAGGCCAGGCGCGGTGGCTCACGCCTGTAATCCCAGCACTTTGGGAGGCCAAGGTGGGCGGATCACGAGGTCAAGATATTGAGACCATCCTGGCCAACATGGTGAAACCCCATCTCTACTAAAAATACAAAAATTAGCCGGGTGTGGTGGCGCATGCCTGTGGTCCCACCTACTCCGGAGGCTGAGGCGGAAGAATCACTTGAACCCAGGAGGCGGAGGTTGCAGTGAGTCGGGATTGTGCCACTGCACTCCAGCCTGGTGACAGAGCAAGACTCCATCTCAGAAAAAAAAAAGAGAGAGAAGCCGGGGCTAGAGGTGAGGGCAGTGCAGGGTGGGAAGCCAGAGCCCAACAGTGCCCCCTTGTGGTCAGGGAGGCCTCTGCAGGATAGCTCAGCCAGCCATGTCCTGGGTGCTGATATTCCTGGCTGGGTTCTAGGAGCTTTGGCTGGGAGTGGGGTGAGGGTGGGGCAGGCTACTGCCCATCTCTGGGCCTCACTCTGTGGCCCCCATCCCACTAGGAGGGGCGGGTAAGTCCCTTTCATTCACCTGTCTCACCTCCCCTGGTTTCCATCTCGGGCCTGGACTCGGGGGCCTTCCCTTAGATCTCTGCCACAAACATTCCATGGAGGGGCCCTGGTCAGTGTGAACTGCAGCAGTCCAGGCCTGGGCCTGGGGGAGGTGCAGAGAAGGCACCTGGGGTTCCGTTTAAGTGCTTCTGGGGGAGGCAGACAGGAAACCCTAAAGCCAGCTCTCCCAGTCCGACTCTTGGCTCACCCCATTAAGTCAAGCAAAGCTGCCCACTGCAGCTTACCCAGCAAACTTCCCTCCCCAAGCTGCATTTCCAGCCCTTTCCCCAAAGCCTAGGGATACAGGCCTTCTTCCCAAAGCACAGTTGGGGCAGCAGAGTCTCCCAGAAGAGAATCCTTGCAGCCCAGTGACCCCATGGGCGGCACGTGCAGCCTTCCAGACGGGCTTCTCCCAGGGGCCCCAGTTGCGCCTGCCCTGTGGGCCCAGCCACAGGAGATATCTCCTTGCTGGGGCCTGGAGGGCAGGGACAGGGCTTCAGGTTCATCTCTGCCCTTGCTCAGGCCTCTCTAAGCAGCCCCAGGGCATGCTCGAGCGCACTCCTGACCCTCAGCCCTACTGGGTCCTGGCTCTGGCTAAGGGAGCACTGGAGTCTGGGGACCTGCCTTCTAGACGTGGCCTTGAGAATACCAGTGACCCTTCCTGAGCTTCACAGTCCCCAAATGAAATTGAGGAGTTTGGACCAGACAGTCTGAGTGTAGAGAGAGGGGGAAATGACACAACAGTCCCTTTGGGGTAAAGGGACTGAAAGTGATGGGGGTGGGACTTGCAGATGATTCAGAGTGGAATGAATGAGGAGACATTCCCCTCCAAGGAGAGGCTGTGAAACTCTGGTGGGAGCGAGGGACTAGCTCTGCCACCTCCAGCCAAGCGGCCCCAGCCTCTGCTGGCATCCGCTTAATTCCACTATAAAACAGGGGCACTGAGGTGATCTCATTAAGAGTCATCCCATAGGTTTGATGTCCCGGGATGCTAGAGGAGAAAGTCTAGGGCCTGTAAGCCTCCTATCCTCACGTATCTGAAGGAACAGTCGTTGTAAGTAGGGACCAGACATCATCTGTGAAGTTGAGAAGGCAAACCAAAACCAGTGGGCAGGCACTGCAAGAAGGCATCAGGAGACCCAGTGGGAAAAAGGAACCTCTCAACAAGCAGATGCTAAAATATGGGCTGAGAGGAAGAGCTGGGTGCCCGGTACCCCGCCAGTTGTTATGCAGGTACAGGCAGAGTATATAAACAAGCCCCATAAAGTCTGAAGTGGTGCTCAAGGGCAATGTCTTGTTATGACAATGATTATTATTTTTCCTGACAAGTGGCAGACAGCCTCACGGAGCACACCTGGGCCCTTCCTTTGCTGGCTCCAAAGGAACCTACCTGGGGGAACTCAGAGGCAGAAGGAGACACAGCCACAGCAGGGAGCTGCCTGGTCTCTCCACCGCTCCCTCCATCCCTTCCCCCAGCCTCTCTCAAGAGCCCGGGCCCAAAAAAGGGAAAGGGGTCCAGCCTCTAAGTCCTTCTCCTCCCTCCAAGCCCAGAGCTCTAGCCCCCACCCTGCGACAAGCCCACCCAGCATCAGAGGGCTTTCGTGACCCTCTGGGCTTCCTCTCCCTTCCCTCCCTCCATGCAGCCCAGCCTTCCTGCCTGGGCCGCCCAGCCAGAGGGGTGTGGCACATCTGGTTTGGACAGCCTTGGCGAGAGTCCTTGGCCCTGGGGTGGGGAAAGCTGTTTGCTGGTTCCTCCCTGTCCCGTGGGGGCAGAGCAGCAGTGCGGGTTGGGTGGTGATGAAAGGGGGCTATAGACCCTGGGGTCCCCAGCTCCTGAGCTCCTCCTATGAAACTGCCTCAGCGCTGCTTCGCATGAGCCTTCCTGTGGCCAGAAAGCCCTGGATGATGTAGGGAGAGGGCTGGAGTCTGTAAGCCAGGGAAAGGGGCCACCACACACAGGCCTAGGGCAGACCTGGGAGACAACTCCCGTCACCTCGCTCAGCCTCCTGGCCATCCACTGCCCCGTGCCCCCTCACCCTTAGGCTGGGAGGTCTGGTGGGCATCCAGCCGTCGTGTCTGTGCGGAAGGCTGGAATCCCTAGTGTGGCTATAAGCTGGCTTCTGGGAGTCCCATGGGCACCTCGAATTCCAGATTCCTCCAACCCCGCTTCACACACACAAGCCCCCCACCCCCAGGCCCTGGCCATGCTCTTGGCCTGACCATGTTGCTGTCGCCCCGGGTGGAAAGCTCTGAGTCACGCTCAACTCCTCCCTGCGCCCCCACCCCCATCTCGGCAGCTGCCAGATCCTGTGGAGTTTGCCACCTAAACACTGTCCTTCTGTGCTTTGTAACCCTACTGCCTTTGCCCTGGATGAGGCCTTGGCACTTCTGCCCAGGGCTGTTGCAGCAGCCTCCTGGGCCCTGACATTAGGCTGCTCCCACCCAAAGCACCTACACAGCCTCTCAGGATCACAACTACAGCTCTGTAGGGTCTGGCACCTCCATCACCCCAAATGCTGCCATGGCTTCCCAGGTGTCCGGGATAAACCCTGCCCTCCCTGAAGCCAGCAGGAGGAGAAGTATTGGTTCCTACCCAGTCCATGCTCCCAGTTCCAATCCCCAAGATCCACTTCCCGGCTCCCTGCCCTGTGTCCACTCAGGCTGTTCCGTGCTCCCCACCCACCCGCCAACCCCTGCACCTCAGAACCTCTGCCCAGAATGCCCTTTCTCCCCTCTTTGCCTGTCCAGCTTCTAGGCATCTTCAAGGGCCTGATTCAAACCTCATCCCCTCAGTGGGGTTCTTCCCAGATACCCCTGGACCTGTGTCAGAATCCATTTCCCCACCCTCTATCCCCTCATTTTATTTTGAAAAGTGCAAAAGCTTCGGAAAAGATGAACACGTATGTGCCCTTCCCGTATGACCACACTCAGAAATTCGGCATCAATACAATCCTATTTTCTAATACAGAAACTCTACTGCCCCAAGAATGCCCACGAGAGCGGCACTTTGTTTTCGTTCTTATTTTGGATTCAGGACATAATCAGGATCCTGAACTGCCTTCAGTGGCTGGGTCTCTCATCCTTTAACTGAGACACCTTATCTATCTCTCATTTTTCTTTTCTGATACTGACATTTTTAAAGGTTTCAGGCCAGTTGTTTTGCAGAATGCCCCTCAATTTGGGTTTTGATCATTTTCTCGTACGTCAGTGCAGGCTAAGATTCTGGAGAGGAACATTATTACCCCTGCTTTTCCCAGCCGCTCTTTCTTTGAGCCTCACCGCAGTACTTGTGCAGTCTAACAGCCCCTGCGCTTGTTAGCTGGGCAAGATGCTTAACTTGCTCTGCCTCACTCTACTCATCTGTTAAATGGACTAATGACAGTCACCTCCCATAGGCCATTGTGAGGATAAAATGAGATCATGGTGCATGGTGAGGCCTCAGCAGCGCTGAACAGCGATTCCTGTTGTCTTTTCTGTGGGCATCAGACTACCCACCAGGCAGACATGTCAGCGCACACATCAGCTCTGTGTCCTCTGTGTCCAGCACAAGTCTGAAGAATCACATGGGTGAAGCTACTGCCTGGCCTCTGTTTTCTGTAGCAAAATTACACCCCATTCCCACGCACCTGCCCTCAGAAGAGAGAGAATGTGGAGCCACCCTCGTCACCAGGCAAGACAGCAGGTGACCCGGTGCTGTCATCTTCTGGCTGAGAAGATGCTCCTGGTCTCCAAGCACTGGGAACCTCCAAGGAGGGCAGACAGCGACATTTCCCCAGCACTTCCCAGTCCACTGCCCAAGAGCCTTTAGCTCCTGACCCAGTTTCCCAAGTGAAATGAGTTCTCTCTCCTCAGAGAAAAATGGAAAAAAAGAAAAAACGAAAAACAAAAGAAAAATAAATTAGTTCTCTCCATCGGTATCTGTCTCTCCCTCCCTCTCTCTTCCTCTCTCTCTCTCTCCCCCACTCCCTCCCTCTCTCTCTCTTCCTCTCTCTCTTTCTCTCTCCCTCTCTCTCTCTCTCTCTCTGATCCTTCTTAATGCAGGTTGCCCACATTTCTGAGCATCAAGCCCATTTTCTGCATCAAGCAAAATCGTGTCCTGGCTTGGAAGGGCTCAGAGATGGGGCTAGTCTGAGGCCACATCAGTGGGGCCAGGCGCCCTGGTGAAGGATTGGCATGGTTTTCCTCATTTAATCCTCACAACGACGCCCTATGCTGAGTTGAGGAACTCGCCCACGCCCCTACCTGCATGTCCCTGAGCGACTTCCTCACCTAGGCCATGCTGGAACAGAGATTCAAATGCAAGCCTGTCCAAGGCAGGGTCCCAAGCACCTACCTACTGCACTAACCATCAGCTCGGCCACATCTGCCGACAGCTGCCTGTCTGTGGCAACCTTGGGGAACCCTGACAGCTGTATAATCAGTGGCTGGTCCCCTCTCTGAAAGATCATCTACTGGCTCATTTCTCTTTGTCTTACCCAGCCTCAATTGTTTTCACTTCCTGCACTTGGATTTCTGAATTCTCCAATTTGTCTTCATTATTCTATTTTATTTTGTTTTACTTTCTGACAGGGCCTTGCTCTGTTGCCCAGGCTGGAGTGCAGTGGTACAATCAAAGCTCTCTGCAGCCTTGACCTCCCGGGCTCAAGTGATCCTTCCACCTCAGCCTCCAAGTAGCTGGGACTACCAGTGCACACCACCATGCCTAGCTAACTTATTTATTTTTACTAGAGACATGGACTGACGATGCTGCCCAGACTGGCCTCGAACTTCTAGGCTCAGGCAATCCTCCTGCCTCAGCCTCCCGAAGTGCTGGGATCACAGGTATGACTACTGTACCTGGTCAGATTCGTCTTTGGTTTAAAATTCACCTCCCAGGGAGTCTTCCTGACACCTTCTCCCCCAAGTCCAGGTTAGGTACCCTCTTACATCGCCCAGTGTTTCCCTCTTGGTAACACCCACCCTGCTTTTAATCACGTGCCTGATATGTGTAAGCAGCTTGAAGAGAGCAGGCCCTCCATAATAATCTGTGAAAAGGATAGAAAGGTGCTTGGGGGGGGGGCGTGGTTAGAAAGCCAAATGACAGGATGCTCCTTCATCACACGACCTCCCCAACACCATGCCCTGTCCCTGGGCTGCTCGCCATGGTCCTCTTTGCTCACTTAGGGCTCACATGTCATTCTTAGGGCTCGATTCTCACAGACCCCACATTCCCTGCCCCAAAGCGTTCCCAGAATGGAGAACCCTGGCAGAGGATGCAGCAGATGGGATTCGAGCCTCCACTCTGACTTGCTGGGTGGCTTTGACAATGTGCCATCCTACAAGAAGCACTAACATTTATTGAGCTCTTATATGGGAGAGACACTTCTCTAAATGTATGTGTGGATTAGCCCATTCAAAACAGATCAACCCTATAGGTAGGTGGGAAAACCAAAGCACAGAGATGTGAAGCTGTTTGCCTACCATCACACAGATGCCGAGTGACCAGCCCAGGATCCAGCCCAGACACTGCACTCAGCCAGCATGCCCCACTTCCGTTCAACACTGCAGGAGAAAAGTGCAGTGCTGCTCCCCAGTTTTGTGCCTCTCACATCACTTTGAAAAACTTTGCAAAAGGGGAGTCTTCTTTCAGACCCTGACGAATCTCACACAGCCCAGCCTACCTCCCAAACCCACAGTCAGGAGGCCCTTACAGGTCAACCGAACTAGAGAGAGCAAGTTCAGGACCAAAGAGTCAAATTGGGGTCCACATGGCAGGAATTGCTCACAAGGGATCCAGGGCTCATGAGGACCCTCTGTCGAGAATGTGTGCTTAGCCCCGGGCAGGACACCAACTCCAGGAAACAGAACACATCACTGTCTGCAGCTGGATGTAGCCTTAGAGAATAGTATCCAAGTTCCAGAGAGGTCCAGAAAAGCTGTGTGAACAGCTTGAGACCACTAAGCTTGCTCAGAGCAGGACCAAGGCTGCGCTTGAACCCCAGCCCCCAACTGGTGGCTCTTTCAGCCTCACCCTAAGCCCTTCCCAGTTCCTGGGGACAGAGCAAGCCCCTCTGGAAGGAAGGACCTGCACCTCTAACTCCACCAATACAACACCAAAAAGCCTCAATTGCTAGGCATGCAATTATTTTCTAAACAAATGGTACTTGAATATGTATAGCAAATCAGAGCACTTGATGAGAAAATCCAGTTATTCATAATAAATAGCTCTGCTCCTTGGCTAATAAAGTGATTTTTATTCCTAAAGCTTGTTAAAACTATGCACTACAGATATATTACGTCTTGGATGGCACGATTGCAGCTTTCCTCAGACAGGAACATGTGAATCGAGACACAAGCACTCACTCTAGGCACAAGACCTCTCTCTTACAGCTTCTGCCTCCGTTATCCTCCCTGGGGCCACAGACCCAGCCAGTTCCTGGCCTCAGAGTAGCTGGTCATAGTCCCTGGGCAGTCAGGAGACACAGTCCAAGGACACAGTCCTGCCCCATGACACCCTTCCCAGGGAGATCCTCCCCCAGCATCAGATCTGGGATACAGAAGATCCCAAGAACCAGGCTGGAGACTGTGGAGTGGGAAGGGGGCCAGCATTTGCTGAGCACCTACTATATGCCTACATACCTGATCTTTTGACATCTATTGTCTCTTTCCCCACCCCAGCCATACAAGGAGTATATTATTCTCCCCACTTTGCAGATCAGGAAACTGAGGCTCATGAAGGGAACTGCTTTACCAAGGCTGCCCATCCAGTAAATATGGAAATAGAGTTTGAGCCTAGTCATGTCTTTCCAATCCCTACTGCCCCAGACTCTGGCCCACCATGGCCATGGGCATCGCAGCCAGCCAAACCAGGACAGAGACTAGGAGAGGAGAGGAAAAGGAGCCAGGGGAGACGCACAGGCTATTCTAGCCTTTAAGACACTCAAGTCCGGGTGCAGTGGCTCATGCCTACGATCCCAGTACTTTGGGAGGCTGAGATGGGCAGATCACTTGAGGTCAGGACTTCGAGACTAGTCTGGCCAACTTGAACACGTAATAGCAAATGGGAGCAGTTGATGAGAAAATCAAGTTATGCATAATAAATAGCTCTGCTCCTTGGCTAATAAAGTGATTTTTATTCCTAGAGCTTGTTAAAACTATGCTAGTTTAATGCTAGTATTTGTAGAGATGAAACCCCATCTCTACTAAAAATTCACAAGTTAGCTGGGCATGGTGGTGCACACCTGTAGTCCCAGGTACTTAGGAGGCTGAGGTAGGAGAATTGCTTAAATCTGAGAGGTGGAGGTTACAGTGAGCCGAGATCCTGCCAGTGCACTCCAGCCTGGGTAACAAAGCAAGACTCCATCCCAATTTAAAAAAAAAAGAAGAAGGAGAAGAAAGAAAAATAAAGACACTCACGGAGGTAGCACCCACACCTGCCTTGTGCCCAGACTCTTCCTCCTACTCTCGGGGAGGGTATAACACCCATAGGGCACTCTACCTGCCAGGCACTGCCCTGGATACTTGGATACAAAATATCATCCCCACCTCTCTGCAACCCTCATTTCACCCATGGGAAAAGCAGAGGTTCACAGGGCTGAGGTGCTTTTCCCAAGACCGCTCAGCTGAAGGGGTCTATAGAGCACTCTCTCCATTCACAGGAGCACATCACCCCTGGACGTCTACCCGCCACCCTTCCGTGTCACCCTGGA